GCTTCGGTCATTTACTCCAAATATACTGACTGATACTGACTGACTGATATGCGTTGTAACGGTGACAAGCTGAGATGTCCCCGTCTGATTACGCCCTTTTTGAAACCCCAAGGGAGAACACAACAAGAAGGGCGTAAAAGTGGAAGTCACCTGATTGACGGGTTGTATTGTGTACAGAATCCGGAGTTGCTGTCTTGGGTGGCAGTGGCCGCGGGCGAAGCCCGAGCTGATGTTGACTACGTCCAGTCACGCCTGAGGGTGTCAGCAAGTCTCAGCAAGTCCCTGTGTGAGATGTGACAGTTGCTTATAAGTGATTGTGAAGCGAGTTCAAGTGTTGCATGATTGGTGCTTTGGATTACTCGAGAGGTGTGGAGTATTGAGGTCACCTGTTGCGTGGCCGCAGGGTGGCGCACTCACCTGTGCTTGCGTGCCTGTGCGCACGTGTGTGTGCGATTGAATATCCGTCCAGCGGTTTAAGGGCATCGAGTGGGACAGTCACCAGCACCGACACATGAGCTTGAGGTCGCTCGCATTGAACAAGGAATCATTGTTGGCTGTCGGCCACAGAAGCGATTCGTCAGGACAGTCTGCAAGGTTATGCTGGCAGTCGGTTAGGCTGACTCCTAACCGTATGTACCAGTGAAGTTGGTCTGCCTATATTCTGCAGCCTGACCCTCACCATTTTCGGCGATTAGCCTGCAATCGCAATACTGTGCGTATCTCTGAATATTTATTTCTTGTTGATAAGAGTACTTGCATCTAAGAGGGTTTTGATATCACAGTCACAGGAATCTACCCTTTCTCCCGGCTTCTAGCACATTTCCTTGATTTCTGCCTGCCATTTTGCTAATCAGCTTTAAAACGCGGAACCGCCACTTCTTTCCGCGCCATTCATAATCCCGACCCAGCCTTTTCTCGTTTCCAACGTTCTTAAACTCTTCGGCGGTAGTTGTACGCTGCCTCGGTTTCGCGACCTAAACCCACCTTGCCTCATCAGCCGCATTAACACCGCTTTTCTCTTTCCAACTAGCATTCTCGTCACGCCTCTCCTGATCGGCATGCGCAAAAATGTCTTATGCCTTCTCTTTTTTCCCCCTCCAGCCCCCGACTCAAACTGCACAATCGAAATTGGCTTGTCAGCCTTCCCACCGATGATGCTCCCTCGAAGGCCTACAAGTCTGTTCCCCTTGCCAGCGCTGAGTTCGCACATCTTCAGTCGCAGTCTGCTGCTTTTTACTCTCGACTGGCGCAAATGTTTGACAGCCAGTCGGTGTGCCAGCTGCCAGACGTGAGTTTGTGCCTTTTTTCTGTCGGAATAACCTTTGTCAGTCCTATCTCCGCCCCGCCTATCTGAGCTTTGAATGTCAGAGCTTTAAGCTCTGCCTGCACCGTCTCACAGCACTAGGTGGTACGCGCTTGAGCAGCCTCGGTTTAACTACGTTCCTGTCTATCCTACAGGCAGCACAGTCCCTCTCCCATGCTCTGTTCATGTTTCGACTGGCGCTACCACTGTCTTAGCCGCTTCCAGAGTCCATGTCATAACTCCTGACTGCTT